AGTTACAAGTCTAAAGTAAGAATATTTATTCCTTGATCTGTAAGACAACAAATATCGAATGATAAGATATAATTTTGGATGTTTCTCTACAAAAATGAAACACAGAACACAATGAATAGTTGTACCTGGAGCAAAAATAAGAAAAACATATCATAAATAAAAGTGAATGTTAAACTCTTGGATCTTATAAATAGCTTTATTAATGGTTAAAGTCGCCAAAATATGTACAACTATTATGTATTCATAAAAAATTTTAAGTAGTTATCTGCAGGATCAGACTGTTTGATTTTGTAGAGGAGCAACTCAATCACAAAGATAATTTTTAAAAAGTGGTAGAATATAAAAAAAGATCTGAAGCCGGGCTCTGTGGCTCAGCCTGTAATCCCGAGCCTTTGGGAGGCTGAGGTGAGTGGATTGCCTGAGCCCGCGGGTTTGAGACCCGCCTGGGCAGTCGAGACCTCATCTCTACAGTAAATCAAAAAAATTAGCCGGGTGTGGTAGCGTGCGTCTGTAGTTCCAGCTACTTGGAAGGCTGAGGCAGAAGGATCGCCAGAGTCCAGCAGGTCGAGGCTGCGGTGGCCGGAAGCGGCCATTGTACTCCAGTCTGGGCGATAGTGAGACTCCAACTCAAAAAAAAAAAAAAATCTGTCTTATATATGTATACGTCACACTTCTGAATGGGGACATATATTGCAATAGTACTCAAGAATGTAAACACTTTAGAATTTAAGTACTTGAGGATTTAAAAAATGTATTTTTCTTTTCAAATTGAGTATTATGTAAACCAAACTCTATGTTCTCAAACTGAGTAGTGTTTGTGGGTGGTAACTGCAAGGCAGATAGCAATTCTCAGGTATTATGAATGGGATATATGCCTAACATTTGCAAGATATCCTTTTGGCAGTGTCTGTCAAGTAAGTATAAGAAATATAATCTTTTCATATAAGATTATAAAAATAAAAGAATGCATACATTCTTGAGGTATAAAGATTCAAATTTAAACTTAAATAAACAAAGCACAGACAGTATAGGATTTATGTTGGTACCTAATTTCAAACCCACTTTCACTGACCAACTGTCTGGGAGTATGGTAAGTAAATAAATTTGTCAGTAACTACAAAAGTTTACCTGTAACATCAAAACTTATATCTCCTAAATACTTCATTTTTATAACGCTTATTTGTAAGAAAGTATGAGAGCTAAATATGTATGAGAAAAATCTTTATTTAAGTGTAAATTATGTTAATAATATACTTTTGTAATTTTGTAGCTTAGAATATTTCATTTTTTAATATTGCCAGGCAACTTGAAGATTTTGACAGATCTGTCAGATTCTTATTGCATATCAAAAACCTGTTTTAAATAATAGCATGAACTACGGGAAAAAATTACATGCCTTGATATTTGCTACTCAATTTATGTAATACAGCAATTTAAATTCTAGAATATTAATCATATATGGAACAATTATTCTTCTTTATTTATCCTAAAGTATTTTCTAGATTAATGCATATGTTCCTTTTTAAGAAAGTTAACCCAGTTATTTCTCAATATATTAATAAATATATTCCAGAGGCAAATTGTTTATTTCTTTTCCTTTCCTTTTTTTTTTTTTTTTCCCAGTCAGGATCTTACTCTGTCAACCAAGCTGGAGTGCAGGGGCATGATCATGGCTCCCTGCAGACTCAAACTTCTGGGCTCAAGCAATTCTCCCACTTCAACCTCCAGTGTAGCTGGGACTACAGGTGCACACCACCATGACTGATTAATTTTCTTTTTCATAAAGACTAGGTCTCACTGTGTTGCCCAGGCTGGTGTCAAACTCTCAGCCTTGAGGAATCCTCTTGCCTTGGCCTCCTAAAATACTGAGATTACAGATGTGAACCACTATACCTGGCCATAGAACAAATAATTTTTATGATATATTGTAATAAAAAAGTTTACCAAAGTAAATCTAAGCTGTATTTGATCTCCAATTTCTGTGAATTCAAGACACTATAATATTATTAGAACTATTCTAGGATGTTTCTTTTGAATAATTAGACAAGAGGCTCTTTAAACAATTTAAACCAAAATGAAATATAATCTCTCTTTATTTTATACATATATGAAAAGTGGTATTTTTTTAATGGAAGAGTACATAAAACTAGAAAGCAATAATACATTCTAAATCTAAAATTTAGAAATCAGTGCATTAATTTTTTAAATTGCATATGGGTATCATAAAGCGAATATATTTCTTCTTACTATGAATCCCAAATAATTTGTAATGCAACATGATTGTGTGTATTCTTCTATCTATAATTCTGACAGATATATTTATAAACTATTAAACATAATTTTTATGAAAATGTTGCCTGTTACAGAAATATAATGCATTTACTTTTAATGTAGCCTATGATTTTGTAGATTGCCTTAAACATGAAAAAAGCATTTTCACAGAACTTATATATTGAAAAAGGCTTTTAATTATAGCCACTTCATAGTTATAAGAATGTCTAAAATTAAGGAAAAGTGTTCAGAAAACAACATTAGCACATTCTTCAATGACAACATTTTAAGTCATGTGATACAGTTTGTATGTGAGTGTGTTTGTGGCCTTTTCAAAATCAAAGAGAAATTATACATTAAACTAAGGAACTGTGCTTGTATTAAATTTCTGAACATAATCAATTGATTTGTTAAACTATGAACACCTGCACGTTAAATTTAAAACTATAATTTTTGAAAACAGCTATTATGGAATAAATGTTTCAAACCGATGACAACAAAACCCTACAACTAAGAAATATCTACAAGACATCATAGGTAATTGATTATCTGTTACGATGAAGAGAAACTCAAATGTCTGTGTTTACTTTTCAATATAAAGAAGAAATCTTTTTAAGGAGTTAAAGTTTTTAAGGCTTTCAGAATGTTCTTGTAGGAATTAAAGTTTTTACAATGTGTTTTTGTGCATGCAGCCAACTTCTACTTCACACAAAAATATAACCCAGAAGCAATCAATAACATTATAAAGGAGTTTAACTTACACTATACCTATATAGTTATGATGATATAAATATAAAGTTGAGAATTAATTCAGGTAAAGGGGAAGAAAACTTTTCGATACATTTTTTGGACACTTGAACAAATATATCTGACATATTTTTTGAACATATGCGGCAGTCTATTGACAACACAGACTATCTTTTAGTACTGAATTATACAGATTGAATTTTTTAAAAATGAGAAATGAGGGCTTCTATACTGGAAGGAGGCATATTCAGTTATTACATGGTACCCTTCTTAAATATAAATATACTAAAATCTCTGCAACTTTTTATTAATAATAGAACTATCAGACGCAGAGTACCCTTTTCTTTACAATTTCAACGCAGCAAATCTTTTCCAAATAAATAACTATGCAATAAACCCACTAGTCATTCATTATTAATTTCTACCTTTTTAAGTTCAATTCCCAGACATGAGTTATAGTGGTATGGTTTAAAAAACTCGGTGAAAAGTTTGAGTAAGATCTACGTATCTAGTGAAATAGTATTTTAGATTAATGTTGTAAATTCCGAGTCACTGTTTTTAAAGTTCTATGTTTCTGATCTCTAAAAAACGATAAGAATGCAAGGTGAGTATGAGTTTAGTTTAATTGTCAATAACACAACTAGTCAACACCAAATAAAATATGACCCTTGCACTATATTCAGGTAAAATGGGTGTGTCCTTAGTCCAGTTCTCCTGTCAAAGAATCACAAAAAAGTAGTTGATTTATATGACCCTTGGTTGTGCTTTCCAACACAAGGCAAGTAGGGTCAAGAGCTTTCTGTGCACCAGGGGGGCTGAGGAGGTGGCAAAGAGAAAGGACGAGAGAGAATGTGGTGTAGTGTTTCTTTTTAAAAGAAATACTAGTTAACTGTGCTGTGTAAGAAATTGACCTTGGAACAAAACATTAGGGCTTATAAGAGATTCTGTCATTATATTCTTCCTACTAAAGGTCACTGCAGTAACTTCATCTTCAAAGGAGCCTTGGGATGTAGCGCGTTTCAGCACCACGGACAGCGACGCTCCTATCAGGACCTGAGCCCATGGCTGCACTGACCAATCTCAAGAAACTTGTACAGACCTCTCCTTTGCAATCAGCTTCCTGTTACCTTCAACAGGGAGATCTTGAGTATAACACAGGTTATTAAATATGTCACTAAGTCTCAATGTACGGCATCAAACATTTGCCACTTAACACTTCTGAAAAGCATACTGAAAATCCAAGCTACCTAAATGTTTCTGATAGATGACCTCACATTGGTAATCAATCACTAGATACCTAATCACAGTCTTTCACTCATAGTAAGACCCAGATCAACAACGGTATAAACGTTTAAGAGAAAACAGGAAACTTAAGGAGAATAAGTATACTTAGGTAGGCCACTAGCCTTTGCGAACAGAACTCCCCCTGTAAAAGAGGTAGTTTTATGTTCCTACACAAACAACTACAGACACTTTCTCTTGTCCCTCCGGCCAGCCAACTTAATGATGTCACTATTCACAAGTTCATATGTGCAGGTCCACAGGCCAAATCACACATGCTTGTCTCCAACTCCAGGCTTTACCTCTGGGCAGCAGCAGCATTGCAGTCCCACCCTTGTCTTCCTGACAAGCCTTATTCAAACTCCATTTTTAAAAACACGTAACAGAGTGTGAGCCAACTGCACGGCTGTAGGAGATAGCTGAGGCACCAGCTTTACTACCTCAGATAACCAGGGACTTCCCTGATCCTCCAAGGATTCCCGGAAGAAGGCATCCGTCCACCAAGCAATCCACCAGGTCTTCCCAACTCAAACAGCGAGTCAAGCTCTTCTAGCCACAAAAACGCCGGTTAAAGCAACAACACCGGAGCCAGAAGGAGAAGCACCGCAAAACTAAACTCGAGAAGGCGCCCCAACCGAGCCCACAGAGACGGAGAAGACCAGGTCGAGGGAGGGGGCCGAGGCTACCCCCAGCGTTCCTACCTTACAGTCTTCGGGACACGATTTCACCGAGTACTCCTCCGACTGTAAGTACTTGTGGAGCACACTTTCAAACTCTTCGTATTTCTCCTGAGCATGGTGGTCATAGTCCTGGTAAGCCTCGACGCACTGCCTGCAGGTGGTCATCTCGCCGCCTTCCTTGAGCACCACATCCAGACTGCAGTTCAAAGTGTTGGGACTGGACAGCCCCGAGAACAACTCCCAGAGTGTGTAGGAATTACAAAACGAAAGGTAAAAATCCGACAGGTTCCCGGGCGGAGCCGGGCGCCGGCCCCTGGCCTCGCGCGCCTCCCCCGCGGCCGCCGCCCCCCGACTCCAGTTCCTGGCGCACACCGCGTCCGCGTCCTCCACCGTGAAGCACTGGCCCGAGGACGCGCCCTGGGGGTAGCAAGTCTCCAGGCGCCACAGGGGCTTGGCGGAGTTTCCTGGGAAAGGAGGCTTGCCCCGGTGGCTCTTGCCTCGGTCGCCCTTGCCGCCGCCGCCGCCGCCGCCGCCGGCTCCCGGGGAGGGGGGCAGGGTGGGGGACGCGGAGGCGGAGAGGAGTCTGTGAGCCTGGGCGGCGGGCGCGGACTCCCCCATGCTCGCCAGGAGCGCGGGCCAGGAGGGCTCCGGCGGCCGCTGCCGCTGCTGCTGCTGCTGCTGCTGCTGCTGGCGCTGGCGCTGCTGCCGCTGCTGCTCCTTGTCCCGGGCGCGGGTCAGTTTGGCCTCGGCGCAGAACCACAAGTGATCAGACAGCAGGACTGTGAAAAACAAGAGAGATGCCAGAGACAGTCGCCATTTCTGAGCCCTCTCGGAATCGATGAACGGTTTCTCGTTCTCCCGGGGTGCTGCCAACCAGATTTTTAGGCCGTCGTCATACTGCCGACACATCCAGGCACCCCTGGTCATATTTTGGGAAGGCACAGCCCTGGCCGACTCCACCGTGAGGGCTCCTGGGCCGCTGTCGCCACAATATGCATTGACTTAGAGGGTTTAGTTTCCTTATCCCCTCCTCCCGTTTCTTCTCTCTCTCTTTCTCTCTCTCTCTCTCTCTCTCTCTCTCTCTCTCTCTCTCTCTTCCCCCTCTCTCTCTCCCCCTCTCTTCCTTTCTTCTTTTTTTTCCTTTTTGCCTACATGAATATTACCAGGCTTTGGAGGAAGATCTGACTTGCTCCGACCTAATCGTCAGCCGACCCCATCCTCCGTAGAGTGGGAAGCAATAATGGAGAGAGGGAGAGAGGGAGAGAGGGAGAGAGAGAGAGAGAGAGAGAGAGAGAGGCGGAGGAGGCTGTGCCGGTGGCCGGCGGCGAGGCTGGGTGCTGGGGGTGATGGTGGAGGCGGCGGGGTGCCTGGCGCTGCTCCCGTCACCCAGGCATTGTCAGAGCACGGGTCCCCATGGCCCCGCTGAGGACAGCCCGCTCTCCCCTGCCAGGGGCATGCCGCGTCTCCGCTGCCCACTGACGGCGACCAGAGCGCCTCCCCTCCTCCTCCTCGTCCTCGTCCTCCTCTTCCTCCTCCTCCTCGTCTTCGCCTCCTCTTCCTCCTCCTTCCTTTCCTTCTCCTTTTTCTTCTCCTCCGCCTCCCGCTCCTACTTCTCGCTCGCTCGCCCAGAGT